ACTTCCGTAGTGATACTGCCTCGGAAACCCAAGGAGGGGTCGCTATGAGTCGGGGCCGACTCGATGGCACATAACAACAACAACAACAACATAATATATTTTAAATAGCAGGTAGTACAAACCCCCCTTTTATTATTTTTTCATAGTTCCTTTGGCTATTTTTATTCATTTATCATTCCAGATGAATTTGAGATCATTTTGTCAAGGTGCAAAATGAAAAAAAGACCTTTTGGAATTTTGGTTGGGATGGCATTAATTTTTATAAATTTATAATGGGGAAAACTGACATCTTTACTTTATTGAGTCTTCCCATAGAAGAACATGGTATGTCTCTACATATTTTTTGGTTGTTGTTGTTGGGGGTAGGGGGGGTCTTCTTTTAAAGATATAGTCGTAGAAGTCCTTTCTATTTTTTGTTTGTTTTATTTCTAGGTGTTTCATACCTTCATTGCTGTTATGGATAGGCTCTTTTCTCCTGTTACATTTTCTAATTGTTGTTATTGATAAGAGAAGCTATTAGGTTTATTATATATTATATATTTGACTGGTTACTATTGACATTCAAAAAATAATAATTTGTATATATTTATTTGTTAGCAGCCATATATGTAGTGTTTCATGTTTTTGTTGCCCATTATATTAGAACTTTCTAGATAAACAGTTGTCATCTATAAATGTTATAATTGGTAAAAATTTGATTTGTTTCTGGTATTTTAACTTAGATTTATTTTTGTTATATAATTTTTATTTTTCTCCTATAATAATATAATGATAATTCAGAATAATTATAAATAATCATGATATAGTGTACCTCTCCACCTTTTACCTAATATAAATGGGAGTGCATGTAGCCATACAAGGTTAGATATGATTTTGGCTATAGCTTGAGGTAGTAAATATCATTTCAGTAGAGTATCTTTTTAATCTTAACTAATATGAATAAAGATGGATTTCAAATTTTGCAACTAGTTTTTTGACCACCATTGAAATAATAGTTTTTTAGTTTGATATTGGTATGGTTTATATTAATAAATTTCCTATACTAAACCATTCTTATGTTTCTGTAGCAAACAATAGCAATGTTATATATTATTCCTTAGATATGTTCCTGGATTCTATTTACTGATGAATATCCTTGTGTATATCTGATGTGGTATTCTCATGATAGTTTTTGGAATTTATGAAATTTTACTCTGTAGGTTATAGTTCATACTCTTAAATCTCACAAAAGCTCAGCAAAAACTGGATTAAAGTATAAAAGGAAATTTAATGATTCAAACCACCGAATCAAAAAAGCTTTGGAAGCCAGAATCTCAGATAATATTCCTCTGTTTTTTCCCTCTGTCTCTTTTACCTCTGCTTCTCTCTCAGTGGCTCTGTTTTCTTTTATTGCATATAGACCTTTATCACACAACAGGGAAGAATTCATCTCACATTTTCCTAGCAACCCTGAGTTAGATAGGTTTGTTATTCCTACCTCTAGAAATCAAGATGTCCTGGAAAGGAGTATAAGGCACAGCTTAAGAAGCCTAATGTAATGTCCAGAGAAATAAAGCAGTATGATTGGTAGCATCATCACATGCTTAACTCTCTGCTTAAATGAAGGCTGTGAGGGGAAGTGAAGAGTTAGGAAACTTTGCCAGAAAAAAAGGAATAGAAAAGCTCTGGGTAGAAGATAAGCAAACAAGCAAAGAAAACAAACAAAATAATACAGTAGTTAAAGAGACCACTACATTATGTCTTGCTATAGCTTCCCTTTGTTTTCTACAGTTTCACTTATCTGAGATCGAGCATTAGTGGGAGCATCAAGAATGGACTTCTGTTAGCTACAGAAGTGTGATATTCACTTGTGTCTCCCTTCCATGTAGTTCACTCTTTAGTTGTGCTTCCTACTCAGTGTTGTTTTTGGGGTGTGTGTGTGTGTGTTTAATTTTACTTTTCTTCCCTCTTCTGGTATTGGAATAAGTGAAAAATATTGGTCAATTACTACAAATCAATGAGATTTAGAGTAAAAATATGAAGTGGAAAAAAGGAGTTTGGCAAAAGATGATATATTGCAATATTCATTTCTCTTCTTTTTCTCCCCAAACCTCTCAAAATATAAAGGAATAAATCTCCAAGTACAAAATATGGGAGATTTCATCAGTAAATAAAGATTTCAACAATGTTTTGAAAAACTGAAAGACGGTGAAAAGTTTGACTGAGTAGTAGAACCTGTAACGGAAAGTACAGACAGAGGGGATGTGAACAAGAAGACATGCCTCTTAGCCTGACAGAACCCTAAACAGATTTTTGATTTTAAAGTACTGGTTACAGCAGAGTACGATGGCACATGGGACTGAAAATTAATCTTTGTTGACATGTGGAGAAGCTAGCCTTTCAGTCTGCTTCTCCTACCCTGTCAACAAAATACCAGTGCAAGTTGCCTATTCTTGTAGGTAGAAGACAGAAGATAGGCTCTATGATATTATTTTTAGTGGTGTTTGTATGAGAAGCCTGCTTCCCTATCCATTTACTATAGTACATAGTTCCACTTCATGAACGTATAACTGAAATATAAATGGACTGTTATATAAATTTGGACAGTTCTCTGAGAAAGTTGGACAAAAAGATAGGGATAGACAAATATGAGAGAAAAGATAAATGACTGAGAGGATCAATTGAATTCTAAAAGATAACTAAGTGGGTTTTAGAGAAAACCAAATAACCAAACTCACTGCTGTTGAGTCAGATCTGACTCATAGCGACCCTGGGATTTCTGAGGCAGTATCATGATGGA